TATAAACTGACTGCCGAATATGCCTAGGCTCTAATTTTTTGTTCAGATTTTTTGTTCACCAAGCAAAAAGCTACTAAAATTTAAATTTTTAAGACTAAGGTCAAAACTATCTGTGCTACTTGCATAGTAACCGGCTATCCCTGTATTTCATTGGACTTTGCAATAAAACAGGTCGGAAATTTCTGTGGTAGTTGCTTAGTAACCATAGATATAACTGTCAAAATGTTTTTTTTGTTCTAGCACTGATTTCTGTTATCATACTGACATTATGTTACTGCAGGACAAAAATAACTCTCAGCTTAAAAACGTAATTGATTCTAGTGTGCCAAATGATTTTTGAAGTATATTCCAATTAGTCCATATGTAGTTTAACTGAAAAAAATTAACCAAGCTGAAAGGCAATCAAAGCAAATGGAAAATCAATTACCTTGTGTTAACAATCCACTTAATTTGATAGACTGTTTAGAAAACAGAAGCGCTTTGTCTGAAAAAAATTGGTTTGTTTTTGATTTTAGTCTTAATTTATTTTGATTAATTATTGCCTACCAAAATATCACTGAACGCATATCTGGCAAGTATTTTTTGATGATCGCGCCAACAGCAAAAACTAGTATAACATATGAATTTTGCTTTTCTGGCATTTGAAAGTCTTACATTTTTCTGTCAAAAAATTAATTATGTATGTGCTTATGAAATTTAAATAGAAATTTTGAAATTAAAAAAAATGAGGTAGCGTAAAATTTTTCTTCTTTGAAAATAGTTTTTATGCAATTCTGATAAATATGTTGAAAATAATTTTTGTCCCATTTTTTCTTGTCAAATTTGAAAAAACTTCAATCTACTTTTTCACTCTTAGCCTAGATAATTTAGGTTTTTTTCAGATTTTTGATATTTTTACTTAAGTTTTTTGAGTTTATCGTTTACTGATAACAAAACTAGAAAGTTTTTTCAGAAGTTTTGCCATTTGACTTCTTTTCATTTCAATGAAAATATTAAATTTTTATTTGTTTTTGAATTAAAGTTTTTTAGATTGTCAGTTCCAAAAAATGATTCGAAGAGTAATTTTAGGAAATTTGAAAAATGAAAAGTTTTTGTGATAGTCGTGTGACTTTCAACAATTTTGAAATTTTTCGTTTTCCAGATTTCTGAACATTAAAAAATCCTGAAGTAATTCCTGCTGAAATAACAACAAATGTTTAAACTTAAATTGATAAAAAAAATTACTTTTAAACCTTTTTACACTCAATTTTTGAACTTACTAAGCTTCGGAAAAATCACTTTGATAAGGGCATGGTTTAAAACTTATGTAATTTTAAGTTGAAGGGATAAAAATACCACTTTTTGCGACTGAGCCTGGGGATGTAAAGGAATTGAGCGCAAAATTGGATTTTTCATTTCAAAATGTCCTGTACCACGAAACGTGCGTGAATTATTTCGAGTGTGATGTCAAATATGACCACTTTTGAGTTATGGTTAGAACTCTTAAAGCTATTTCAAAATACAGTGCTGATTTAAATTAACCGGACACAACAAATAACATTGAAAAATTTAAGCGCTTTTTTCTCAAATTTGGTTAGGATTAGACAAAAAGTGGAGAGAACAAAAGTTGTTGAGAACTTCACAAGAAATATTATGGTGCAGTTTTGTCAGCAAATAAAAGAACTAAAGTTGAAAGGTCATTTTGGATTTTTAGCTGATCAAGAATTACTTTGAAACTACCAAGTTAATTGATAAAACATTTATGTCAAAAGAAATCTTCTACACAGCTCAACAAAAAGTTAGAAGGGTACAACTTTCAGAAATGTTTATATGAGAATAAAAGATCATATTTACTTTATACAAATCAAAGTCTTTGGGTAAAAACAAATTTCAATAGTTTTTTTTTTGCAAATTTTTGACAGAATTCCCCTTCCAAAGCTTTGTTGATCTGTGTAAGAGGTTTCTTTTGATAATATTTTCTTATCAATAAACATGGTAGTTTCAGCTTGTTTTTTGACTGACTAACAAAAACTAAAATGACATTGTTTTGGTGTAAAATGCTGGTTCGGTATTTCGGAGAAAAAAAATGCACCATATTAGTTCTGTTGAAACTTTATGCAATTTTTGTTTTGTTCACCTTTTGTGTAATCTAAACACAAATTGAGAAAAATGGGATTGATTTAGCAAATTTTGTTTGTTGTGTCCAGATAATTTAAATCAGCACTGTACTTATAGTTGTAAAGAAACACGTTTCTGAATGTTTCGTTTTCCCGATTTTAGTCAGGGTAGAGAGGAGTATTTCATTTCTTATTTAATCTAATTTTATTGTTATTAATCTAAATTATTTTTGCAAGAAAATTGTATCTGATAAAATCTTTTTTTGCTAGTCAAAAACTGCAAATTTGATTTTACTGTTTTTCAATGCGTTGACTACTCATTTCAAAACGCTCTTTGTTATTTGCTGATCATCAATCCAAGTTTTGTTTAAGTGATTTTTTTGAAACCAAAATTATTGAAATAAATGCCTAAAAATCTACAATGATACGTTTTTGCTAATCAAATCCGCATTAAGAAAGTAAATAAAAGAAATATCAAGCTATTAGGTTTTGATCTCGAATAGTCCCATTTTCTCCGTTTGCAGAGCAATTTAGTTCTACCATTAAACCAACTTTTCTGTATTTACTTATTTTTTGTTAAATTATTTAGATATTTTTTAGTTAAGTTTTCACATTTTCCTTGCAAAAAAAACATGCAAAATGACATATTTAAAAAAAATCAAAACAGTTGCATAAAAATTTCAAGTTGACCAAATATTCCAATCATACAGATGCTTGTCTGAAGCTTCAAAACCGAGAAAATTGTGCAAACAAAACAAAACAAAAAATAGAGAAATTCGTATGTGTCAGTGTATATGTAACCGTTTGTGTGTGGATGCGTGCGTGCGAGTTATCAAACTCCTCCTAACCCTAAATTTTAGGATTCAACCGAAAACTTTTAATTGTTATTTCATTTTGCTTATCCGAAAACCTTTAATTGTTGTTCATTCGAAAGTTAGGAGCGATATTGGCTTAAAATTTGCTCAAAAATTGGGGAAGAAAAAAGCAAAATGTGGCTAAAATGGAATCAAGTGACTTCCCGTACTGAACTTTTTTGTTAAAATCACATCTGGACATCGAAAATTCATACAATTTTGAGATCTGTATCAGTCCTGTGGCATGTCTCTTTTTTCGCTGTACATGTCTGAATCAGACGTGTACAGATATGATAACTATGGAAAAAGTCAGGTATGATCATGTCTGCTTCACGTCTGGCCCAGGTATGATCAGGCCTGTCCCAGGCATATTTCAGATCTGACTTATCATGATCATAACTGGACCAGACATGATCATAGCTGACTTTACATGATCAAAACCGACTTAACATGATCAAACCTGAAGCAGACATTATCATACCTGACTTTACATGATCATACCTGGACCAGACATAATCATGCCTGAAGTTGCATGATAAGACCTGAAGCAGTCATATCATTATGTTAGCATAAGACCGGGGCAATCCATGAGTCAACCGAAGCAAGTTTCGGTGTTAAATCGAGAAGCAAAAATCAGTTTTATATTGGTGCCAGGCAATGCCCAGCATGCCAGATATTAAGCTAACAAAAACAGATACCACACATGATCTTAGCCAAAAGACCGAGAAGCGATAACTGAAACAAAAGATCTTTTTTCTACATGCCTCAGACACAACAAAGAAACAACAGCTTGGACTTTTTTAAACTATCCGATTGGATTGGGAGCTAGGTCGCTCCCGAAACAATTCATACAAGATCAAGGTAAATAGTTAAAAATAGGCAGTCATTATGATTCTTTGCTTTATCAAAATACCCTGCCGGCTTGTAATTTTATCGTAAGACTACAGTGGACTACATTATAACCATCTGTATTACTGCCGTTACATGGCGCTAAGTTTTCTACATGATCAGACCTGAAGCAGGTATAGCCATGTCTGACCAGGTATAGTCATGTCTGACCAGGTATAGTCATGTCTGACCAGGTATAGTCATGTCTGACTCAGGTATAGTCATATCTGACCAGGTATAGTCATATTTGACCAGGTATAGTCATGTCTGACCAGGTATAGTCATGTCTGACCAGTTATAGTCATGTCATATCTGTTCAGGTACAGTCATGTATGACTCAGGTATAGTATGCAAACGGCAGAAGTGATCACATGTAAAAGAGATATGCACAGAGCTGGAAAAAGCTAGTGTCTGACAATTGTATGATCAGACGTGAAATTGTGAGAAAAGTTCGATACGGGTTTTACAATTCTTGAGCATTCTATTTTCTATTAAAAGTATCAAACTTTACCCGTGCATCTTTAATGAGTAACTTATTTCTTTTTTGTTTATTAAGAGCCCCAAAATTTTTTTTACTGAAAACTGCAAGCACTGAAACTGAGATACACGTTGATCGCTGAGTTCGTAACAAGCTTATTCAAAGCATAAACTTAAGATTTTTAAACGGAATTTCGTTTTGCAGTTATAGAGTTTGCTGCATTTATAATGATTGAAGGTTTGTTACTAGCTGTATTCATTAGCAAAATAGATAAATTATTATTGTTTATTTTAAGCATGAATAGGAAACAAAACATGAAACGCGTTTTGACTGACAAGATTAGGTTCCCGGCCATAAATGGCTTAGTTGCGAAAACTTGGAGCGTTGTATATTAAACAACCTGGTTTTTCTGTTGTTTCATACCGAAACAATTTTTCCAAATAGCTTATGCAACTCTTGACTTCATCACAATTTGATAGTCGTGCGCAATAACTTAGCAAAAACGGAAAGGGGAGACAGAGAAGCCGTGCTAAAACTTGAATTTAGGAACATCGAGCAAGGGATTGATTTTTAAAAACAGGAGTTGGTTTCAAATCTGAAAAACAAAATTAAAGAAAGTCAGGATCATTTCCTTAAATGCATCTTAAAAGATTCCTTATAAAATTTCCAAATTTCATATTTTAGAAATCTGCTTCAGAAGTTGTCTAAAGTCAAAGAACTGAAATAGAGTTTACAGTTCTCGAAATCTCTCACTAGCTTCAAAAAAGCAACAAAAAAGAGCAATTTGCATCAAAATTCAGCCAATTTTGCAGAGAGCCTAAAAGCCATGAAGCCGACGACACTCTCTTCATCAGTGATGTCCTCTCCTGTGAACTTCTGTTCAGCCATGTGGCTATTCGTAGCAGTGATGATCCTCCTCGCTGCAACCGTCTCATCTTCCAGATTTGGTCAGTAAGATGTTCTAAAAAATCTAGAATATTCTAGAATGAGAGTAAATTTTTCAGAATTAAAAAGAAAAATTCATGACAGATTTTAAAAAATACAATTGAAAACATAACAAGACTGCTCGTATCAGGGCAAAGCCCTGAATGTTCTGACTGCCTTTTAAGGTTTATGGAGCAGTAATAACATTAAAAAATTAAATGTAAGAAAAAATAAAATGAAAATTTTTTTTCTCTAAAATTTGAAATTTTTTATGAAAATCATCCCCCCACACGCCATATAAAGTACAAAAGGATAAATTTTGCTCCTTGTAACAAACCAATTATGGCGAATAAGCTTCTTTTAACCAATTTGAAACGATTTCTAAGACGGATTAACTCTCCGCTTACGCGTTAATAGCGCGAAATATATCGCGCGTTAATTGTCCCAAATTGGCCAAAATGGCAATCTTTAAACCCCCATAACTTTACGAAAAATGATCACAGGTGAAATATCTTTTCAAATTTGAGCTCAAGACAACAATACCTTTCGAATGATATAGAAAAATTCCGTCAAAAATGGCTAGTTAAAAAGTCGAAATTTGTCTGAAGAAAAAAAAAACCCACCCCGAGCACAAATATTCCGTTACTTTCGTATCGAAAGTCGGAACAAAAAGAAAAAGAATTCAAAGTTTAAAGCATAAAAGTTACCCTCGTCCAGGAAGTTTTTGATAGTTTTTATCGTTCTCAGATTATGACAAAAATGCAAAATAAAAAACGGTAAAATGCAATCTAGGACGTCCACTGTGAGGTTTTCTCCAATTTTTTAAAATCAAATCTTTTCCGACTCTATGCTTTTTCATTTCTAGAAGCAAGCAAAAGTGGTGTCTTTTTGAATGCTGACTTTTCTTTTTTCGTCGCAAAAAAAACGAAATCGAAGATTGAGTTTCATCTTTTATTAAGATTGAATGTTTTAATCAACGGCAAAAATCAGTTTTTGGGGCGTTTAACAGAGAACAGTATGTTTTTGCTCTTTCACACGTGTTCTTTCACGACAAGGCATGAATGAAAAATGAAATATTGGAACGCATCAACGAAAAAAGAAATCATTTGCATAGTTTCGCACACTTTTCACAATTTACCGGGCTCTTTTTTTGAAAGAAGCACGATTATAACAATTGAAAAACCAAAAACAAAGAGAAAGAGCAAAAAAACATACTCATCAACAGTTAGAACATAGTTGAAGATGGCCTCGGGCAAAAGAGCCGCACTCGGGCACTTCGTGCCCTCAGGCCGGGCTCTTTTTCCCTCTCTACTTTCAACTATGTTCTAACTATGTTCTAGCTACTACACGAAGCCAACAGATACCTGCGCTAATTTTATTCCTTTCTTTTTTTCAGACCCCGAGGACAACAAGCGCATGTACAGAGGGATTGGGAAGAGAGAGTCATCATATGGGGGCGTAGAATGGGTATATCCAACTTACGAAGAAGAATTTGAACCGAGCCAGAAGAGACTGAAGATGCCGCTGGTCTACAAGCGACTCAAGATATTCGGCCAGCAGACTCAGCCCAGACCTTACTGAAGCTGCATAAAAAGCAAATCGGTTGATGAGTCTACAATGTTAACAATTAATGATGATTATCTTTTTGATCAATTATAAAAAATAAGAAATTGTTTTCGGCTCAGTAGATTCAGGATAGTTCAGTAATAACGATTTTAAAAAAATTTCGGCAGAGAATTTCTTGAATGTTCAAAGGCAATTAATAATTTTGGTTTTGCGAAAATTGTAAATATACTAGAAATATAATCAGGAGTGAATGTCGCATTTTCTCAGGGGTAGGGGCGGATTTTAAAAAAGAACTTTTTTGATCTTTTTTTTAGATCGACTAAATTGATTTACTGAACTCTCCCTTGTCACACTAAAGCCCTAATTTGACTAAACTTTTTGCGCTGGAGGCAAATCTTGAAAAAACGGGCCAAAAAAGACGCTTTTAGGCACTTTTTGGAAGGTTTTAAGTCAAACAATTGCGTTTTAATAGTAGTATAAATTGGCGCCAAAGGGTTTTCAGGGTCGATCAGCAGAATTTTTAAAAAACGTTTTACTATAATAGTACTAAAGTGGGGACCAGTTGGGTGGTCAGTGGGTCGAATCCTTAGATTCAATTGTTTTCAATTGTAGACTCAATTTCTAATTCAATCAAGCAACACAACACAACACGACTCTAGCCGAGAAACGACATCACTATAGTCACCCATATCAGAGAACTTACAAATACTAACAACAAAGTTAACTAACCACGTGTCATTACTTATGAGATAACAAAACATAAATGACGACGCAATTGGATGCCGATTTGATAGTTATAATCAGCGCAGTTTGTGATAATCATTTGGCTGCAGTTGATAAATAAAAATTGTTATCATCAGTTGTTTTCAAACTGGCCAAAATTTCATGATTTGTTTCGAGTTTGATTAAAAATGGCAGGTACATTAAAAAAACTTTTCAGCCGTAAATCAGGTACTGCAAAAGACAAAAAGATCCGACTACAATTTTTTTGTCAAGAAAAAAAATCGACAAAAAAAACAAATTCGACTCTGGTCAGTTTTGCCTTTAGATTTTTGTAGTTCTTGTGCGTATGAAGTAAAGGAGCAAACAGTAGCCCAGAACAAACTACCAATGGCTTCATTATTTTTAAAACGATAGCGTTTCTTTAACTTAAAATAAAATGAAGATCAACTCTTCCTTGTAAATTGTTCTCAGAAGCTTCATTTTTTAACCTATTTTTCTCGACACTTCGAAATAAAACTTAGTTGGTTTGAAATTTTGATAGACGGGCAAAAAATCATTACTAGGCCAAACTATGCTCTCATAATTTGCTCAGTTTGTTATGTATGTCTCTGGATTCAGCTATAAGCTTTCAAATATGTCAAAAATTGCAGATGGAACTACCAAATCATTAGAAAACTCTTAACAAATGCTTGTAACGTAAATTTAGTGGGCTCATTTTTGTTTCGCGGATCACTGCAACGATCGAGTAAAGCAAATTATTACCGAATCCGCAATGGATTCCATAAATTCGTAGGGAGAATCAACATTTTTAATTGGATCCCGCAATTCATAGTGTGTTCCGCAAGTAAATTAAATCAGCAAAGTACTTAATTTTGAGTGAGCGGGAGCAAGCAAGTTAGAACAGTTAAGAGTTGAAGCTAGGAAAAAGCTGGAGCTGAACTCAAGCATAATAACTTGATTGTTTTTGGTCGAAAAAGTTTTTTTAAACACAATTAAACTTCAACATGGATTCACCTTTTTAGCCACAAAGACATGCATTGAAAATCCAAATATATTTTACAGTACTCGAGACGAACAGTTGCTTTTCAGATGTTCGGAACAGCTCCTATGCTGGTCCTTTCTCATATACTTTTTAATTAAACTTTTTAACCTGATGCAAGAGTGTCAGAAGTTTGAAGCAGCTGTTTTGAGTTTTATAATGTTTCAAGTACATTAAGAATAGTTTCAGTAAATTGCAGATTGTCAACTAAAAACTCCTGATATAGTCAAGAAACCCCTACTTTGGGAATCTACAGTATTTCGGACTTTTCTGATAAACGAGCACATTTTATGCGAGTAGACGCCATGTTTTTTTTTATTGCAGCCGAAACCAGTCTCACAGTTATAAAGAAACCAGATATATCTTAAGCATCGCCTCTCATGATGCTGCGACCAAATGATGGAAAAGACTTAGTTATCTAACAACATGAAAATTTATTACTACTCAAAAAGAAAAACTCTCTGGCTTGATTTCTTATTGATTACGATATCGACAAATTTTTTGTAATAAGCAAGCAAAAAAGAGAAAAAAATTTCTGCTAAAAAACATGAAAAACTATAAACAAAAGCTGTATGATAAAGATTTTTGGGCCAAAATTATGTTTTTATAGTTACATCTCGAACTAGCTAAAGCGGTTTACTTTTTTCAAGTTGAGTTTCTTACAAAAAACTTTTGATTGAAGCTGAAGTCAAATAGAAGAAGTATCGTAGCGGTAAAAACTGAAAATCTCGAAGAAAGTAACCTCGATGAAGACAAAAATTGATTGAAAGTTTTAAAAGATCGATCAGACTTTAGTATTGATGAAACTGAAAACATAGCTGAATAGTGACAAAAAAACACATTGAATCCAGGCAAAATCATTGTTGCTCTAATGCAAAATCAACACTTAATGGAATATTTTATTTGAAAAGCGTTTCGAGCTTGAGAGTTCAGAGACAAAAACGGCTTCTGATATTCCTGGTGTTTTTTTAGCGCAGAACGTCGATGATCATGAATCAAGCACGCCCTCTTCAGAAAGTTTAACCACGTAAACGGTCATTAATCTCTCAAATAATCTGCATTTGGAGTAGCGCCTTGTATTTTAATCTATAGAATTTCTCGCTATAAAAATTAATTGAATATGACTTTGATTGGCTGAAAAATTATCCTCTGAATGTTTTACAAATGTTCATCAACTTAAAAACATGAATGTATCTTTCCACACTAAACCCGAAAAAACTCTGCGTTCAAGAAGCGCCTAACCTAAATAACTTTTTAAAAAATTTCAGAAAAGAAATGACATTGACAGAAAAGTTTGAATTTGCGAGCTTGAGTTTTAAATTTTTTCTTGCTATCAAAATGCGAATAACCAAACATCAAACCTATATCATAAACATTTTTTGGGGTAAATACAGTGCTGATTTAAATTAACCGGACAAAACGTGTTAAACTTGAAATTTAAAACGCGTTTTTCTCTAATTGGGTTGAGTTTAGGTGAAAACTTATGAAGACAAAACTTGCTTAAAATTTTAGCAGAATTAATATGGTGTTATTTGTTTTGCGAAATTCGGGCCCAAAATTTTACCACAAAAATGGGTCATTTTGGCTTTTCTTAGTTAATCAAAAATTACGCCAAAAATACCCGGTTGATCTCAGACATAATTATATCTACCAAAGTGAGCCCCTTACGTAGCCCAACAAACTTTAAGAAGGGTATATTCTCCAAAACATTGTTTAAGTTAATTTATTTTTGTTTGATAGACAAAAAAGGTCGTTTTTACTTTATAAAATACCAACTTTTTTATTTAAAAACTATTTTTAAACAGTTTGCAATTTTTCTGAAGAATATACCCTTCTTGAACTTTGTGGGGCTACACAAGGGGCTCACTTTGATATAACTAAGTCTGTGATCGATTGGGTGTTTTTGGCGTAATTTTTGATTAACTACGAAAAACCAAAATGACCCATTTTTGGGGTAAAATGTTGGGCCCGAATTTCGCAAAACAAATTACACCATATTAAATTTTGCTAAAATTTTAAGCAAGTTTTGTCTTCATAATTTTTCACCTAAACTCAACCCAATTAGAGAAAAACGCGTTTTAAATTTCAAGTTTAGCTCGTTTTGTCCGGTTAATTTAAATCAGCACTGTATTCGGAACTGATTAAATCTCATGTACTTTTATTACATTATATCAATTTGGATTGTAAATTTTTTTTCATTCTATGAATGTCATCCAATATACTGCGCCGCAGATAAAAATCTACTGACTTTTCCGATGGCTGGGCTATCAGGGTACACACAGTCGAACAAGTTCGAATCATGTTTCGAACAGTGTCCAATCAGGAGTTGAAGTGAACTTAAATTGCAATGCCTTTCACTGCTCTCAAGACTGTAAAAAGATGCAAATTGCTAATTAATCCACCAAATATGTCGTTTATAAAGATACCAAAGCATAAGGTTTTCCCTGCTCGAGGTTAAGGAAACCTTACCCAGCCAAAAAAACGTGCTTGTAGTTCTTAAGCTGGGGCACAATCAGTTTTCCGGGATGGTTTGGACAGTTTCTATGTTGGTCCTTTCCTTTGACAATAAAACGTCCTAATCTGATTGAAAAGTGTTCGAAGCTTGAAAAAGTGTAGTAAAATTGAACAATTTTAAGCGAGCTCTAGGAAACGAGTTTTAATGTGCATATTGTTTTAGCACATTAAAAGTAGTTTCTGTGAGTGGCAGACTATCTATTAAAACTCATGAATTGGCAACAAACTTCGTTTTCGGGATTCGAAAGTAATTTGAATCAATTTTGAGAAACGAGCAAGTTTTAAGCGACTTGACGCCATGTTTTTCATCATTTTAGTCAGTCTGACAGAAGATAAAACTGTAGCCGTGAAGATCTGGAGATAAAAAAGATGTCAAATTTCAATAATTATATTTTTCAACTTTATTTCAGTGTTATTTCTTATTATAATAAGGTTATTTTTTATCATTGTAGCATTGAAGTTTATTTTTTATCATTAAAATTAGAGTTATTGCAAAAAAACAGTACATAATAAAATCTTTTTATTGAAAAGCGTTACACGCTTACAGTTCAGAGTCGTGAGCGTTTTGTGATATAACTGGCACGGGCGGATCGAGGATTTTCTCGAGAAGGGTTGGCGGAGTTTCAAAAAATTTTCGAAAATTTTGTCGACGTTTTTTTTGGGTCGACCAAATTGATTTTTCGAGCTCTCCTAAAGCACTAAAAAGTCCCTGTTTTGGCCAAATTTTCTGCGCCGCAGAAAATTTTGAAAAAACAGCCAAAAAAGGCGTCCTTAATAAAATTTAGGGACCGTCGTCAAAAATGGATATTTCAAAATAGTACAAGAAAGTAAGCGTCCGCCTTAAACCGCCCGAAACCCCCCCCCCCCGCCCCCCACTAAATCAGCCCCTGATAACTGGCTTTTTTCTTAAACCGGATCGTCGTTGAGCATGAATCTAGCACGCCCTCTCCAGTAGTTTTATTATGATTTGGCGCAAAAAACTCTCAAATAAACTGCACTAATTCAATCTCATGTACTTATATTTGAGTTGTTTTGTTTTGGATTGTAAGCTCTTTTATTCTATCAATGACGTCCCTCATACTGCGCCGCAGATAATTGTCTACTGATGTTTCCGATGGCCGGGTTATATTGTTATAGTTATGGTTTGCTATCCGATTTCAAAATGGTTTGCTATGACAGGTTTTTCTGTATTATATAGAGAACTTATTTTGTGTGCAACCTCGTCTGGGAATGGCGTGAAGATCGTGTGTGGAAGGGATGCCTTGTAACTCGGATCTGTACGTATACTTGAACATCGAGGTGGTCATTGTTCTAGTTCAATGAAGTCCTTTTCTGCGAAGTCAAGTCGTACTCTAAATCCGTTGAGTTGTGATTGTGGACGGCATGTCGGTTGTGCTTAGCCATTCTTTTGTTCGAGTGTGATGGGATCATCTAGTCTTTGGATGTTCGTCTTTGTTGTTGTGTATTGATCTATATACTGCAAAGAATGATTTACATTCTATAAAATTATGTTAATTCAATTTTTTAATCATGATTTTAGTTAGTCGTTTTCACAAAAGCGTTTTGTTTTAGTTTGGTTATTT